GGGAAGGAGGAGCGGCCGCGGGGGTGGGAGGGGCCGGGCCGCCGCCCGGGACCCGCCGCTGCCCCCGGCCCTGGCGCCTCATAGCCCGGCCCGAGGCCAGGCGGGCCCCGCTCGACCCCTGCCGCCCAACCCTGGGCACCTGGACAACATCGCCCGCCACTACCGAGTTTTCCAGGGGACTGAGACCTTCGTGCTAGGGGCTGTGAGGGACTGGATGAAGCTGCCTCCCAAAGAAGTTGGGATGGCCCATTCCCGGAGATATTCAACGCCTGCTGGGATGGGGCTCTGGTCAGCGTGATCCACTGGAAGTCCCTGCCTATGGCAGGAGATTGAACGAGACAATTTTTAAGGTTTCTTCCAACCCAAACCATTCTATGATGCTGTGATGATTTTATGACTGCACTTTTATAGGGAACGTGTGATAGTGGTGCAAGGATGCACGGAAAATGGATGAAGCACGAGGAGCCTTTCTTTGCTGCTGGCTGCACAGCAGCAGCATCCTTCTGAGTATTTCAGAGCATGGCAGTTCTTGCTTGTGTAGTTCATTGACGTTTTCCAGCTGTCTAAGAGCCTTTTCTGCCTTTACACTTCTGGGAATTGAGACAGGGCCACTACTCCTCAGATGGTGGCTGCCTGCAGAAGTAACATTGCACTCATTTAAATAAAGGTGTGTTTATAAAAACGCTTAGGTAAATGAGTGCAATTTAATCTGTAGATAAGATCTTAAAATACAAACATGGGTCCTGATCTGCAAACACTTGAATTAAAGCTCTCATTTATTTCTGTTTAAGTCAATGGGACTACCCAGGTGCTTAGAGGTAAGGGTTTTTAGGATCAAAGCTCTTGGTGCACTTCCAAAAAGCTGCTGTAGCAGGAAGACATTGAAGAATTTCCCTCTAATATTCAACACCGTATTCCAATATTCATGAACTTTCTGCCTCAGTGAAATGACTGTTACACTAATGAGCTTCATGGGTGTGTCCCTTGAGGAGGGGTTTGAAACACATTATTATAAGATAATGGCTGTTCCTGCCAACCTGACTCCTCCACCTCTGTATTTGAGGTGACTCATTTGTATTTTTTCACTTGTATTTTTCAATACAGCATCTGAACAGTATGTTTTTGCAGCTGGGACTGTGTCCTCTGCAATACAGATCAGGGAGCATGCTGGTGGGATGAAACAACATATTTCTCAAACTGACACAGTCCTTAAGAGTTTTGTTCCATTGAGGGTAACAAAACAACTTCTTCAACAGAGATGTTACACAAGGAAAAGGCTGTCAGAGATTTTCCTGTCTGGCTCCTTCTTTGCTGCACATGCTGTATATTCTTTACATATAGTACCCTATAAGCTGTAAGCATCAATCTAGAACTGTATCTCTTGAAAGAGATTAATGTGATAAGTATTTCACTGAAAGTCACATTAGAAAATACTCAATCCTTGAAGTTTGGCTGTTACACCTACAACACCTTGAACTTCACTACCAATGTACAGCCTTCCTTTTCACTTTCAGCAAGAGAGAACATAGGACATGTCTTCATGAACAAGCTCATGTAAAACTGTACTTGCAGTATATAAATTTATATAAATTGGCTAATTCATGAGAGTGATTTCTTTTCATCTGCTCCCTTTACAATTAAATCACTTCACCCAACTGGTTTTCCATTATTTTTTCCTTAATTAGATTCCTTTGTTAATCCTTCTATACCAAGAAGTTGAAAGGAGAGTTAGGCCATCTTTTTTTCTCCTTCATCAAATAGTCAGAAGGATGGAGATATCTTGGTGTAGCTGTCATTAATCCCAGGTCAGAAGGTAGAGAACTCACTGCTTTAGTCTCCTGCTGTCCTTGCCAGAAGAGTGAAAAAAGCAAGAGGCATAACAACAAAACCTAGAGCTCCACCCCTCTTCAGCCAGCAACATGCACAAATCTGTTTACAGGTTTAAAACGCATCAATACCCATTTAGCCTCGGGAAAGGTATTTCCCTTATGCCCATCTTTTATGTTATTTTCTCTATTTTGCATTAGTCACTAAATACATAGATTTGTTTACAACCTCAGGACTTTTGGATTGCTTGGTTTTCCCCACTCAGGACTGTAATTGTAAAGCCGGGAGGGTCTGGAGCTAAGGAGTCTTGTGATCAGTTTCACAAACTTTATAGTCTACTATGCTGGGCACAATCCCAGCCCCACCACCCAGAAATCATCTTTGTCATCCATCTTTCATACTCTTGAACTCATAAAGACTATCATATGCTCGAGTGTCTCTGTATGGATGCATCTTTAAAGGACTGCTGTGATTATACTGCTAGAAACAGTGTAAGAGTCATGAACTTACTATTGAAGAAAGGGATTGGATATATATGAATGTCAAAAATAATCAGAATTATCTGATTGTAACTTGGCACTTCAAGTTAAGCTGGTACCTACTCCTGGGAAGGGGAATTCAACCTAAAATGAGGACATTTGACACTGCTTACTGTAGGATTTTTTCACCTCCTATTATACAGCATATGAAGCAACTTGTGGAGTGTGCTGTTAGGCACAAAACACTGCCTGAGTGGCTCCTGAATCTCTTCTGATGGACAATTG